GTGGCAGGCACAGTGCAGAGCTAGAGATCAGGAGGTGAATGAGAGAAGCAGTCTAGTAAGGGAGTCCTGTACCAGTGTATTGTTTCCACGAAAGTGATAAGGTCAGAGTATGTCTAGGAGAGTGACTCTTGGCCCAGCCTGCAGGTGCTGGGAGCGATAGTATGGGAGCCAGGATGTGGAGGTGCATCTGAGAGAGGGTGTGGGAGGGGAGAAGGCAGCAGGAGTGTACAGTAGAGCTGGGCGCTGTGGCGCATGTCTATGATCCCAGCAGCTCGGGAAGCTGAGATATAGGATCATGAGTTCAAAGCAGCCTCAGCAAAAAAAAAAAAAGTGTGCCTTGCATGCATGAAGCAAAGGAGCACAGTGGCCTCCGCTTGGAAGGTGTGTGCCCTGGCCGTGGTGCCTCATGTTCACTGAAGGAGCTCAGACTCTTCCAGAGGTGAGGGTATGGAAAAGTTTCAGTCTCTCTGTGAACAGACGAGCAGACTGGGCTCAAGCAGAGAGGCAGGAACTCAGAATGGGACAGCTGAGGTGACTGACCAAGGCCTGGCCTTGAGCAGTAATGGAGGGCAGTGTGGGGGGGGGGGGGGTGGACACTGCAGTGCTTCAGAGGTTTGTGGAACAGAAAGGAGGACTTGGGTGGCTTGGGACTCCCTGCTTCATGGCCATTCCACGCGCTGCGTCTTTTGCCTAACTGCTCTGCCTGCTTTTCCAGAATCACTTCATTTTTTCCGCACTACTCGGGTCAGCCTAGTTGAACTGTCAACATTTGCTGTGTGCCTGGCCTGTGGGGTGCTGGAGTCTGGCATCCACATGGTGCCACCCCTCGGGGTTCTCAGTAGCTGCCTCCTGTGGGCCGGGTGGCCGTGTTGCCCCTTAGTTGGTGTGAAGGACCTGGGTTGACGCCCCTGCCTGGTCGGCAGTGAGGGGGCAAGTTACTTCCACGTCCTCTGGGCCTGTTTCCGGGTCGCTGAGCGGGCGGAACGTGCCTGCCTGTTGAGGACTGCTGTAAAGGTGACCACAGGAAATGCTAAAGCACTGGACGCCTTCTGTGGCACTCACAGCTTTTCCTCTTCAACAGATTTATCACAGAATCCCCAGCTCGGACCCGTCTTCCAGTAAAACCAGGCACATCATCTCCACCATCAGGACGCAGAATCTTCCCAATTGCCAGCTGATCTCCCGAAGCCACTACTCCCCGCTGTACCTGTCCTTTGTCATGCTCTTGGCTGCCCTGAGCTGGCAGTACCTGAGCACCCTGACCCAGGTCACAGAAGACTATGTTCAGACAGGAGAGCACTGACTGGGATCTGTTGGGAGCCGCCGTTCACGTGCGACGGAGTCACCGTTCTCAGGGGTGGATGTTGGCTTCCCTTTATGTTTTTTATTCCTACGTTAATCCCTCAAAGAACTACTTGGACCTTCACAGACTGAAATACAGAGTTTAAAAGAATATGAAAATACAAGGAAAGTGGGCCTTGCCCTCAGCAGGCTGTGCTTGCAAGTCCCGGTCACCCTGCTGCACCGTGGGACGGCAGGGATCTCCCTCAGCGAGGCCTGGCTGCAAGAATGATTAAATGTATTTAATTTGAAGCAACCTTTGAATACTGTCAGTAGAAAATGAAGTGACTTTTCCTTCTGTCTGGTGCCTGGTTTTCCCCTCATTCTGTTCCCTCTAGTTGGGCTGAACGTGGTAGATGTGAATGCAGAGTTCTAGGTGTTTCCTAAGAGTGCAGACTTGCCTCTACACGAGGATGCGGGGAATAAAGTCTTGGCATTATTTTCTCATTTTAAAGGGCCCTTCAGTAAAGGTGTTTCTGGGTATTTACAGTAATAGGTGCAATTGCTCTCTGTCTAATGCAGTTCACCTGAGTCCACTTGACCATGGGACAGATGGAGTTAGTGATCAGAGGACAAGGGCATCTGTTGCCACTGTGAAGCCAGTTAGCAAGTACCAGGAGGGACAAGCTGGCTGCCCTGGGTAGCAGTGGCCGAGCAGGCGGGCAGGCGACAGGGTAGCTGTTCCCTGGCTGCCTCCCTGTGAGGCTAGTCATCTCAGCTGCATTCAGACACATTAAGACTTTTCCTCCTAGCTTTTTTCCCTTAAATTTCCAGTCTATACACCAATGTCTCAAGAAAGGGAGAGCTATTTTCAGATGAAGGTCAAGTGGCACCCAGCCTCGTTCCCCCTCAGTGGGTTCGCCCTCCTTAACCCCAGCACAGTCGGGGCTGGTGTAAACTCCCTCCTGCCGTGGCTCACTGCATCTCTGCCTGGGCAAGGAAGTCATGGTTCCCGCCAAGGGTCTCTCCAGAAAAGCCTTTGGGAGAGTCAGCGTGACCGGCACTGCTGTGAGGCATAGCTCTCTCTTGTCACATTATCAAAATGCCTGAGGCTGGGTACCATATGTGGGAAAAGGAGTTCAGGACTGGAGATGTGACCCGTGGTGGGGTGCTCACCCAGCAAGGGTTTGAGCCCCAGCAACACAAGAGGAGGAGGGGAAAGGCTTCTTTATAAATGCTCACAGTTCGGGAGACTGGAAGTGAGGGTTGGGTGGCCCTGCCTGTCCAGCCTGGGGTCCGGGCCCCCTGGAGGATGGCATCACAGTGGTGGGAGACTGGGAGTGAGAGGGAGTCAGGGCCCAGCGGGCTCTTTTATAACAGACTCACTCTAAAAGATCAGCATTCACCACTTCTGAAGGTGAGTCCCCACCACCTCCACGTCACTACCCTGGGGACCAAGCCTCCTGCACACAGACCTCTGGAGGACACTCAGGGCACTGCAGTGTGCACAGCCTCTTGTCCCAGTCTACTGCGTGTAAGGTGACTTAACGACTGAATTTGGGTTTTTCCTAAGTAATGTTGGGTTAGCACTGTTACAGAAACGGGTTTTCTATGACCACTAGAGACACCTGGCTCAAGTTTGGGTCCATGAAGATTTATGGTTAATTGGTTTGTTCAGGCTTAGCCCTGGACCAACTTGTCATCAGTGCTGAAGCTAGTTAAGGTGACTTGCTGTATGGAATAGAATGGGCTGTGAGCCACGCGCAAAATACTTTGCAAGTACTTTGCCAAGACTCGACTTGGGATTTTAAGGTAAGTTGTTGCATTCCCCCCTGCCCCAGAACTGGGGACTAAACCCAAGGGCACTCTATCACTAAGCTACATCCCCAGCCCTTTTTAAGACGAGGTCTCCCCAAGTTGCCCAGTCTGGCCTTGAATTTATGATCCTCCTGACAGCCTCTGGAGCCACTGGAATTACAGGCATGTGCCACATGTCCTGCTCGATTTTATTTTTTTAGTATAACTGTACGTAAGTATTCACCTAAGATTCAAACAATTGGACATCCTGCTCCCCACTTTCAGTATCATTTACAGCATTCGACATGGTCTGTTTCCTGTTCACAGTGGAGTGTTCCGCCCAGCCCATCAGAATCTAGGAATTTAAAATGAACAGCTGGGAGTGGGAGCCTGACCGCTATGGTTAACTACTGTGCCATTTCCCAGGGGCGCTGGTGTGTGTAGGGGGAGAGGTAGTCATTTTTGGCAGTTTTGGAAACTTGAGCTCTTAAGTTTGTGGTTTTGAAACATTAGTGTGAATCACAATTACCCGATCACCGGGACCACAGACTTTCTGACCTAGTAGCCTGGTGTGGTGCCCAAGAATTTGCTAACCTAAGTTCTCAGGTGACAGGAACCGGGCTGGTGGAGAGATCAGGCTAAGTAAGGATCACTGCTCAAAGGCATTGTTCCTCAAACTTCAACCTCCCTAGGAATGAGCGCGTCTGGTCAGGCTGCACGCTGACTCAAGTGCGGCGCTCATTCTAGCACTGGCTAACAGGCAGTGAAGCTGGGCTGCAGCCCATTAAAGTGGCAAGGCTCCCAGAGGACGGTGCTTTGAGGCCTGAGAGGAAAGGTGGAACTCTCCCAGACTGACCTCCAGGGAAGACCGAAAAGGCACTGTCCCGCCTGTCCTTCCATGTGGACAGGCGTCCAGGAGGACCTTTGGAGCAGACATGATCCAGGGGGTCATTTCTGGCTGACTGAAGCCTTGAGATCCATCCCAAACACTGCAGAACAGGTTCTTCCGGTAAAGCCTTCACGTGTGATGCTGTCCCAGTGCCTTCTGGTGCTTCATGAAGCACACCCTGGCTGGCTCCACGGGTGGGAATGGAGTTGCAGGTGGGTACATGGTGCAAGAAGAACGGGAGTGGAAGTGGGGAGCAGCGGAACTGTTAGCAACTCACTGAGGTCAGGAATATATTTGAAATTGCAGGAGTAAAGTGACTAGGAATTTGTGGCTTGAATAACCTTGTGAAACATTTTCTAAGTACTATAAAGAGCACCACGAACTCTTCTGTAACCTTCACCAGGTTGCTGTTGCAGTGTGGATCAACCCAGGGCCTCACGCACTGGTAGTTCTTCCACTGACCCCCCCCCCGCCCCCGCAAACCAGGTTTTTAAGAGCTTATTTGATGTAGCCTCTAATTCCTAACTTACTGGAAGACAAGCTTCCCAGGTGGGGAAGGGAAATAACTATGGGCAGGCAGGTGAATGAGTGCTGATTATTGTAGTTTCTGGTTCCCTCAAGAACTGGTGCACTTGGTTATGATACTTCACTAGGATTATGCAAAGGACAGCAATATAAACTAGTGAACAAAAGGGAACTCAAAAACACCACACACAGGCTCTGGCTCCACCCTGGGAGACGTGTCTCCTGGGAAATGGACAACCTGATCTGGAAGACCAACATGGTGTTGCACCTTGAAACCTCAGCAGATTGTGGGGCTTGTGGGTGAACAGTGGAATACAACCAGGTCCTTACCTTTGAGCAGGGACAAGCTTGTCAAGACAGAAGGGTTGATGAGGATGACAGGGAACCAGGGAGAGACAGATGCCCTGACTTGAAAACACGAAGCAGTTTCCAGAGGGCTAAAGACCACAAGTGCACAGGCCAGGACCACAGGGCCCCGTCCGGAGGATACTGAGGCACCATCAGCAGATTTCACTAAAGGAGAAACCTTTTATTGGCACAGTCATTCCTTGTTAAATTGACAGGGTGAAGATGTAATTTTTCAAAAACAGTAAAAGCTGATTTCTCCCAAACTAGTTTCAATGTGGTAGTCAAGGTCAGTAGGTCAGCCAGCAAATCATGACCACTTGATTTGTTTTAAGCCAGACCATTGGGAGACAATCTGTAAAAACGAGTATAGCTCTTCCAGCTATTAGATTTGTTCATTCACATGATCAGCTGAGGTGCACAAAAAATAAAACTTCTATTAAAAAAGAATCAGCCAAGGACAGAACCAGAGAGGGCTTACAGCACTACCAAGGGCCATGGATGCAGGCGCCCTGGGTCGACGCGGCTTTCTCCAGAGGATTGCACGCCATGCCTGCTATGGACCTGTGGCATCTAGAAGGCTACTTGCTTAGAGGTACTGCTCCACGTGGGCATTTGTCCTGTTGGGACTCCACAGACCCTTCCTTTGGAAAGCCTGCAGCCAAAGCCGGTGGGTCTGTCGCTGCTTGGACGAGGGGTGGGAGGGTGTTGCAGCCAGAGCCGGAGCAGCAGGCACTACAAACAGCACTAGTCTACGGGGAAGACTCGGGGTGCACTGTGGCCATTGTCCACTGAACAGCCTGGGAGGGAGCAGGAATGGACACGTTTCCTTGGAAGACAGTTCTACCGGGAGGCATGAGTTTGGCCTGATCCAGTTCTTTAGACCCTGTCTACAACTTCTTGTACCTTATGTGAACTCAAAGAATAAAAGACATTCTTGCCCGCGTCTCACACCCCCAGACCAGTTGGCTACGTTTAGGGAAACCCCCAGGACTGGCCAGCCAGGCCTGCGGCAGACTAGATCTTTGCCCAGTATTGCTCAGTGCGTGGGATTCCAGCCACAATTTCTGATTCAATTCCACAGTGATCCTCTCCTCTGAGGATTTTAAAGAACCCTGGAAACAGAAAGAAAGGTGCTTTGAATGTATGCCTTCATTTCTGATCCTTGTCAATAATTCAGACTCACTCCAAGGACTGAGAGTGAGTCACCTGCCCCCTGCAGCACCACTGTGCTCTCAGCTTCTGGCCCAGCAGCCGGGCCCTCCCCTCTCCAGGCACTTTCACCAACCCCAGGTCACCTTCACAGCCTGGTCCAGTGGGAGCTGCTGTGCAGAGCTTCCTGGAGCCACGGCCCGGTGCACACCACCCTCTCAGGCTCAGCGGCTGTCTACCTACGTGGAGAAGTCCCAGCCCACCAGCACCCAGTCTGTTCTGGCTCATGACTCCCTATCTGCAGCAGGAAGGGGGCTGCCACTCACCGTTGTCACCCCAGTCAGTGTTCCAGGAGTTGGCCACCAGCCAGTAAGGGATGCCATTCTCTACCCCCCAGCCAAGGATGCGGATGGCGTGGCCTCCCATCATCTCTCCAGCAACATGCTTGTACACTCCTGAGGAAGGGAAAGCCAGTTCAGACCAAGTCCAGGCCACCATCCCGCTCCACAGCACCCCGACTCAGCTAGCCACCCCCAGCAGCAGAGACAGGCCTCCCAGCCAGACCCTGGGTTCCATCGACAGAATACAGACAGACAAAGGGCTAGAACACCACTGCTCCATCAGAAGACTCCAGGGGCTCCCGTGATATAGGGAGATAATCCACACGTGGTTTTGGGTTTTGTTTTGTCTTGCAGTAGAGGATGGAACCCAGGGCCTCATGCATGCTAGGCAAGTTCTCCACCAATGAGCTAAAAAGTGCTACCTTTCCAGCATTATTTTTTTTTTTGAGAAAAAGGAAAAAGAACATTTATTGCTTTGCTAGCAAAGGAGAAACACAGGGGACTCCTGTCCTGTGATTCTGCCCATCAGCAGGAACAGGGGGCTTTTAAAGAGGTGATTCAAAGGCCACATTCCATGTGTTCTCCTTTGGATTTGTAATTCACTTGTTATTTTGTGAGACAGTCATTTCTGAGAGCTTCTGGTACCATCCCCAAAGTCTGGATTACTTCCTTTCTATGGTGAGTGCATACTCAGGGAAAGATAAATCTGCCTAAAATGGGGAAGAAAGGTAATTCCCCATTTCCCAGAGATTAGGGAGGAGCAGAGAGAGAGGAAGAGAAAGAAAGTGTCCATTTAGAAAATAAGCTGCAGTAGCAGAGCATCAAGGGCTATATTCAAAGCATAAAGTTGGTCCTCCAGCACTTTTAAAAATTATTTTACCATGCCCAGGCTGGCCTTAAACTTGTGATCCTTCTGTCTCAGGCTCCCGAGTAACTGGGATTTAAAACATGTGCCCAGTACCAAATACATTTTTAAAAGCACAACACACTCAACTATGTGAAATATTGAAATGGAGTCCGACAAAAAGATTTGTTGATTGATTTTAAAAACAAAAGGTCTAATCATTAAGTTTTTTTTTTTTTCTTCTTCTTCTTTTGGTACTGGGAATTGAACTCAGCGATGCTCTACCACTGAGCCATATCCCCACCCCTTTTCTTTTTATTTTGAGACAGGGTGTTGATAAGCTGCTTAGGGCCTTGCTAAATTGCTGAGGCTGAATTTGCAATCCTCCTGCCTCAGCCTCTGGAGCCATCAGGATTGCAGGCATGTGCCACCACATGTGGCTCTCTCTAATGACTAACTTACAAAAGAAATTTACTGCTGAGTGACCAATTATCTGTTTTACATCCTGGGATTCTGTATAATTATGGGTTTGTCTGTCAAGAGTTTTACACAGCTTGAAGAGTTTTTAAATTGCTGCTCTGGGGTGCATTGGAGAGGTGAGGTGGGAGGAGGATGGGTCACTGGTGTTGGCTGATGGGAAAGATGCTGGCCAAGGCTCAGAGATCTAGTTAGTCAGGCCTTCCCTGGCAGATGAATCATCTGTCAAATCAGAAACATCTTTAGTAACATGCAGAGGACTGTGTAAGTATTGCCCTCATGACAATACTTATTTTTCTTGCCCAAATAATCTTCCTTTGTTCCAAATTGAGAGCACTGGTATTACATCTGGTTGAATGTAAATAAGAGAAAAGTAGGAGCAAAGGCAGTTCACCTGGAATGGGGGGCTTCTAAGGAGCTGACAGGGACAGGGTCAGGAATGGGAAGCATTCGGCACCACCCAGAGCAAGGTATTTCCTTTATTCATCTCTGGATGTCAGGTGTGACACTAGGTCTTTGCAAAGACAAAAACAAAAATGGTTGAAATAGGCCACTCAGTCCCCACTGTTCAAATGTGGAGACTGATGAAGGACACGGGCCAAGGCAGGAGGGACCACTGCCAGGGAGAGGGAAGGTCCCAGAGAGGAGAGCTGAGCTGGGCTTGGAGGGATGAAGAGGAATTAGCCAGACAAGTTCCTGGAGAGGGATGTGGGATACTATGTGCAGAGATGAAGGAAACCAGGACAGCACAGGTGGAAAGCAGTGGCCACAGGACTGCCGGGAGCCACAGGTGGCTGGCAGGAAGGAGGGTGGACGAAGGGAGGTCCGGCAGCCCTCCTCCTCAGGAGCCCCAGGTCTTCCTCCGGGTGAGTCCTGCTGACCCACTTGAGCACCTGCCGGCTGAACCCTCCACCCAGCTGCCTACACACCTGATTTGTAGGTCAGGAAGTCTGAGAAGACGGTGAAGGCGCCCTCCACTGGGCCGTTTTTGTAGATCTCTGCCATGATCTCCTTCTCGTTACTGGAGACGCTGTAGGAACTGTACCCTGGAGAGGGAACCACACCAGCTGGGGTGAGGGTGCCACCTCAGCTCCCCCAGGCAGTTATGTGCTGATTTACAGCAGGAGGCCAAGAAAGGCTTCCTAAGGAGTGAGCTGGGCCTGGGAGCTGGGCAGAGTGGCATGGGAGGGGGCTGAGGACCCCAGCGCTCCAGGACGGGCCACCGACTCACACAATAAGGGATTCGGTCTCTCGCAGCTCAAAAGGGCTGAAGCTGGATTTGGGGTGGAGCAGGCAGAGTGTGGGGGGGTGAGGCGAGGAACTTCTGTTCCTTCCTCCTTCCCAGTGTTCCTGGACCCTAGGATCTAATGGCCCTGGTCTCTGCCTCCCTTTGGCTTGTGGCAGATCCCAGCCCACCTTACCGTAGTGCTTGTCCTCCTTGTAGGATGGGGCATAGCCGGGCTCACAGCTCTTGCTGCATCTGGGAGTGTCCCCCTCCCCTGTGCACTGGGGCCGGGAACCGTTGACGTGGTGCTCACAGGGAGGGATGGAGTAGGGTCTGCAGCCTGATGGACAGAGTGGACGAGGGGGGTCAGCCTACAACCACCACCGAAAGGCCCTCAGGCCAGGAGGAAGGACTGGACACAGGCCAGCCCATGCCTGCAGCCCTGACCTGGGGCTGACCGTGTCTGGAGGGCTGCCTTATCTGTGTCCGTCTTCCTGCCCAGCCCTCTGCCCTCCACGGTCCTTCATAACAGAAACCAAAGCCGTCCTGACGCAGGGCTTATGGAACCCTCTGGCAGACAGGAATCACACTCACCTATGTGGGAGTCATACAGGCCACCAGAAACCAGGCCTTTTTTTGTCCAGAAGTTCCAAGCTCCAGACGGATAGCCTCCATTACAGCTAGAAAAAGAGCCTTTTGTTAAATTCAGTGTAAGAGAAGTTCCGGCTGTGCACAGACCACTGCCTGGGTCCACATGCCCTAGCACTGGCATGACTGTCCTCCCAGAGCCCACCAAGCCCCCGTCACCCTCCCTCAACTTACTTCTTCAGGCATCCGACCAGGCTCCCATCCCTTCCCATAAACCCCCACCCCCAGAAGACAGGACTCTTACATTCATGTCTACACCAAACTAGGCTCTAGGCTTCCTTCTTTCTGGAATGGTGGTTCTCAGCCAGGCAGGATATTATAATTCCCCGAGGTAGAGGAGCTCCAACCTCCCCAACTGTAGTTTTTGATTTTTGAGGTTTCAGTTACCTGTGCCACCAACTGTGGTCTAAACTGTTCAATGGAGAGTTCCTGCATTTCCTAAGTCTTAAATTATAAGCTGTTCTGACCAGCGTGATGAAATCTCACACCATGCCACTCCAGTTGGCACGGAATGAGAATCATGCCCTTGTCTGGAGTATCTGTGCTGCATGCACTACCTGCCCATCAGGCACTTAGTAGCTGTCTTGGTCATCAGGTTCCCAGGTCTTTTCACAATGCTTGTGTTCAAGTTATTTTACTTAACAGTGGCCCCAGAGCCCAAGAGTGACAATGCTGACAATCCCAGTAGGCCAAAGAGAAGCCATAAAGTGCTTTATTTAAGTGAAAAGTTCTGAACTTAAGAAAAAAAAAAATCAGATGCTGAGATTCCCAAGTCTCTTATCCCTGAAATTATACCGAAAGAAAAAGAAATTTGTGTTGGTTTTGTCTCTGCAAAACTTATGGGCATAGCAAGTGCTAAGTGCTTAGTTAAGGTGGAAAAAGCATTAAATTTATGTATAGGAAAAAACAGCACATACAGGGTTCAGTCCTAGCCTGGGTTTTGGGCATCCATGAGGGGTACTGGAGGGTATCCCCTGTGGGAAAGCAGGGACGAATGTACTAGGAAAACCCACCAGTGCCAGAGAGCGATTCACTGGTGTGCAGTGAGGCCCAGGCACGTTTCTGTAACTCGGGCCTTTCTATGTGCAGCCACGGATGTGCACCACTGGTGTGGGCCCAAGGCCGGACGTTAGCACTGGTGAGCCCCTGAGTTAGGGATACAGCTCAGTGCGATCCACCTGGGGCCCACTGTCTTGATTCAAAATAAGAAAATAACCCCAAGGCAAGTACATTTCCATGAACAGGAAGAAGGAACAAGTGAGGAAACACCAGTCCCAGGTTCAGAAATTTAACGGCATTTTCTGAGACCATGTTGTGCCAGGACCCTCCCCTCGCCCAGCTCTGTAGGTCAGACAGTGGCAGCCACTCCGGGCCTGCTTCCACTCCTCTGTCTCAGCCAAGAAACACCTTCCCTCCCCTAAGAAGTCCTCAGTGTCATTCTGCACTCAGGCCTCTGTGTAAAGGGGCCCAAGACTCACCCGTCCCCACACTGGCCGCCACAGCAGGTGAGCATGTCCTCTGCAGACACCTCCACACTGACGTGCCCGTTGGTGTGGATGCAGATCCGATCAGACATGGCCTCCACAGCCCCAAATGCCTGCGGGAACAAGTCCTGCCCAGTGAGGCCGCTGCCACGCCCGACCTGTGGCATCTCCCGCCATCACCAGAGAGGTCTGCAGACCTTGTGGATGGCCAGTCTCTCTCAAAGCCACGTGTGACTCCAACTCAGCTTCCAAGCAAAGACCAATCCACCTGAGCCTCTACCTGGGGACTCAGCTCACTTCTGAAGCAAACACAAACACACAGCTCAAATACTGCCTGGTTTCACCTAGAGGAGGAGCTTGGGGTGCAGCAGAAGTCTGTGTTGGCGGCAGCCCCGACATCAAGGTGAAAGGAGCTCTGGGAGAGGGTGTGGTGGCTGCACAGCAGTGCCCACATACTAACGCCACTGAACTGCACACAAAAAATGTTAAGATGGTGGCAATTTCTGCTATATGTATTTTACCACAACTCAAAAACAAGGACAGCTCATTGACAGAGATGGGACACTCAGGAAGCAGAGTAGTGGCCAGCGCTGCCCGTGTATACAGGGACTCACCCTCTGCAGGGCACACAGCCCATTCATTTCTCCACCCAATCCTCGCCACAACTCCTGACCATGACACCATCATTAGACTGATGGGAACTGAATCTGAAAGTTAACGTCACTTGCCTGGTCACAGTTGATCCCTCCCCAGACTGTTGACCATTCCCCCACCCGTTCTGCTCCTGCAGCAATCCTAGCCAACTGGGTCTTACCCAGCAAGAGCCACAGGAACCCTGGTCTCTGATCTCTTTGATGGTTGGACAGTCGGGCCACTGTTCCCGAGCATCGAAGCTTTCAGGCAGATTGATGTCCTCAGCGAACCGAACTCTGGACAAAGGAAGGTCTTCATTACAAACTGTCACCTTGCAATTCACCCCCCAAGATGCAAAGGCTTCTTGGTTAAGGGCTGCACCAAGAGAGCAAGTGAGGGCTGAGATGTGCAGAAGTTCCCCTCACGGTCTGGTTTTTTGGTAGTGGGAACTGAACACAGGGGCATTTTGCCACTGAGCTGCATCCCCAGCCATTTTTACTTTTTCGCTTTGAGCCAGGGTCTCGCTAAGTTGCTATCCCCCTGCCTCAGCCTTCCGGGTCCCTGGGATCGCAGAGGTGCGCTAGGAATCTTGTAACACAGAACTTGATCCCACGGCTCAATGCAATCTGGCATTCTGTACGCTTCTTTCTAGATTCGTTTGATATCTTTCAACAGTTCTATGTCTCTTGCTTCCTCTACCCACCTTTAATCATAAACATCTGTCTAGATGCTTTAAATCATTTTTAAAATTTATTTTTGTGATTTTTTTTTTCTGGGTTTTCATTTCACATAAGAGGTGTACTGGAACAAGACGACACTGGCTGTGAGTAGAAAAGTATCTGGGATTCATTCTTTTTTCTCTTTTCCTTAAAGAGTCATTTAGCTGTATGCCAAGACAGATGTGCCCCACCCTAGGTTTCACAGTCTTTAACACTCAAGTTCTCACCAGGCGTGGCACACACACCTGTAATCCCAGCGGCTCGGGAGGCTGAGACAGGAGGATCACGCTTTTGCCAGCCTCAGCAATGGCAAGGCGCTAAGCAACTCAGTGAGACCCTATTTCTAAATAAAATACAAAACAGAGCTGGGGATGTGGCTCAGTGGTTGAGTGGCCCCGAGTTCAATCCCTGGTACCCGCCCGCAAAACAAAACATTAAAGTTCTCCAATGTGTGGGGAACACATCCTGTCACTGCCACATCCTCAGCCCCAAGGAGTCCTACAACTTCACTTTTCCTATCCATCCCGCTGCGATTCTCCAAATGGATGCAGTCCACTTCCCACTTTGCGACTTGGAATGGCTAAAAATGAAAACTGTGCTCTTCTTACAGCCCTAAGAGCTCAGGCTGGAATAGAAATGATGAGTTACCCTTGCCTTCCTGTAAGGACCGCAACCACCCCACCCTCAGGCAGCCACCTGTAATGGCTGCTGGGAGTAACAGCTCCATGGAAATGCCCTAGGCCGTGTTCTAGGAAAAGGAAACACAAGGGCAGATCCTATGGCTGGCTCTTCTTAAGATTTTCCTTAGATTTTTCAAAATGGAGTTCATTGAGACCCATCTGCCATCCTGGAGCCTTGTCCCAGGCTCTACGACACCTTGGAGATGCCCACACTGGCTGGAGGTACCCTGTACCTGGAGGTGTCTGGGCAGCTCTGAGGGGGACCTAGGGCGGCTCCCTTTCCCCCTCCACGGTCCCTCATGGCTGCCTGTGGCCCACAGGCTGAGAGCCAGGGCTTCTCCAGGCACAGCACTCACCTCTCGGGCAGCCGGGGCCCACCCAGGAAGGTGCCACACAGCCTCTTCAGGTAGCTCACGTCCACATTGTAGAAATTGCGTCCCGCCTGGAAGAGAGCCATGCCTGTGACTGTCACCTACCAACCCAGAGGTTGCTGGCATGGGGTAGGTGGGCACGCTGCCCACACACAGGGTCCTCCTCAGGGAAGGCCAGGGAGACAAAAGAACTGGAGAACCACCAGAGCAGCCCATGGGCAGAGTGCAGCTCCCAGACCAGGTGCCTTCTCCATCTGCTGACAGGAGACCCCATGCCCCACCCCCCGCCCTGCACACGGCTCACTCCTCACTTCTTGGTTCCCACAGTCTTCAGGGATCAGCAGGAACCAGCAGTGGTGGGAGAGGGCACTGATGGAGCCCAGGGGCCTCCACTGCGGGCTTCTCGGGCTCCCTGGCTGTGGAGGGCTGGGAACTCACCTACTCCTCCATGCCTCGGCCTACCTGGGGACACTCGCTCATGCCTGTTCCCATGCCCACGGTGCACAGGGAGGGAGGAAGCGACGATGATCCTACGCTTTAACTTTCTCACACAGAAGGTCCTGTGGCCCCATTGGGAGCCATCCGAGTGCATAGGCCAACCCCCAAGGTGACATAAGGACAGACACAGGAAGCAGCCCCGCAGCCTACCTGCCACGTGGTGTTCTGCTTGTTGATGTAGGTGATCAGTTCGTCTGACAGCGGGTGGAAAGAAGTTCTGCCCTGGGCTCTGGTCAGCACCAGTAGATAGCACAGAAAGGCCAAAGGCCACCACATTCTGGAAACTGGATCCTGAACCCACCTGGAAAGGACAGGACGGGGGGAGTTATGATGGGTCCCACGCTACACACCAGGGCGCTCCTCGGGCAGACAGCAAGGCTCTCATCCTGGCCCCTTGGTGAAGCCTGGGGTGACGGCAGATGGACCTCAGGGGTCTACGGTGTCCACAGCCTCCTCCACTGTGCCCATGCTCCCGCCATGCCTGATGGCCAACATGAGGACACAGACAGTCCGGGGGCTGTGCCGTGACTAAACTGAGCCCAGGGCCCTCTCTGCTACGTCTGAACTGCATGGATTTGTTCAAGAATCGGAGAGGCCTTCCCAAAGTGAGTGATCTGAAAGATGCATGTGTGACCATGTCCTGAGGGAAGGGCCAACGGGGCAGGCAAACACAAGCGTGGCCCTTGCCAGTCACAGTGGAGACGACAGAAAAGCAGCTTCCGCGAGCCACCTGGCTCCTGCGAGCCCAGCTGGTTTTCCCAGTCAGCCAAGGGCTCTGCTTCCAGCCTCGGAGATGGGCCTTCTGAGAAACCCCACCTCCCACCTCAGCCCTTCATCCGAGGACGCCAGCATGAGTCAGGAGGCCGGCGACTTCCAGCTCAACATGAATCACCCTCTCGCGCAAGGAGCTAACAGAAGCAAGTGTTTCCTGGCCGACACCTGCGGCCTGGCGAGGGCCTGGGTGGGGAGCGTGGGTGGGCTGGGCGGCTGGTCCCCGGGGCTCCTGAGAGCAGGCTCTACCTCCTCAAGGTCAGGCTGTGGCAAAGGCCCCAAAGGGCCTGTGACTTAGTGTCAGTGCAACACCGCCTCACAAGGAGACCCGCACAGGGAAGAGTCAAACTTCACCATGGCTTAACTCAAGCCCACTGTGTCAGCTGGCAGAGAGGGCAGGCCACGCTCAGGGTTCTGACTGTGAACATGTGAATAACTAACAGTCCAACAAGTGCAAGAATGATTCTTCTGGAAGAATACACATGTGAGGAGAGAGAGATGTTCTGGAAAGAGCTCTGTGGAGGCCCTCCAGGATGGCACATGGATCGCTATCGTTACTTTCTGATGTGTGGGTGTGTGCACACGCGTGTGTGGCACTGAGCACTGAATCCAGGAGTGCTCTTCCACTGAGCACACCCTAGACCTTTTATCTTTTATTTTGAGACAGGGTCTTGCTAAGTTGCCCCGACTGGCCTGGAACTCGAAAGCCTCCTGCTCAGCCTCTCAAGTAGCTGGGATCACAGGCATGTGCCACCATGATGGCTGCCTGCCAACTTTTAAACCTGTGTGCTGTGACTCACACAGGTTGACATTTAGAAAGTTACTATACAGATACACTATCGTCCAAGTGAAGAGACACAGGCACACACACAGATGCTCACTAAATAACTCTCTCGATAAGACCAGAAACAGAGTCAATGTCTAATAGCAGGTAATTGTTAAATCATGGTGAACGGCCAGGTAGATTACAAAGCAGTCGCTGAAAAGTGAACTAGCTGAATCATATCGTACTGATAGAGCAAAAGCGCCCAGGTCCTACTGTTAGGTGGAAAAGTGAGTTGCAGACCATTAGTAAGGTGGGCCTGTTAAGCAGGGAGCATGGGTAGGTGCCGTCCTGCAGCTTTGGGCAAGATGTGAGAGGCGCAGCCAGGCCTGGTGGCACAGCATACAATGCCAGCTCCCTCTCAGCTACTCGGGAAGCCCAGGCAGGAGCAGCACAAAAGCTGCCAGCCTGGCAATGAGCACGATCCTGTTTCAAAATAAAACAGCGATGATGAAGATGATGCTGATGGCAGCGGCGGCTGGGGGTGCAGCCCAGTGGTGGGTGCTCGAAACCCTGGGTTCAAGCCCCAGTATGGGGGGAAAAAGTCAAAGAAAATATACAAAAGCAGTAACTGTGCCAGGAGACCATACTGCTATGGTCTGAGTGTGTCCTCCAAAGGGCCATGTTGCAGGAGCTTGGCCTCAGTGTGGCCATGTGAGGAGGTCGTGTGACACACAGGAGGTGGGGCAGGTGGGAGGCCTTAGTGGGCTCTGCTCCAGTCTCTGGTTTCTCCTCTAGCCATGTAATCTCTCCCTATCATACACGATGCCACCATGATGCCATCTGCTGTGGGGTAGCCCAGGCCAACAGGGTCCTCGCCAGGGCTGCCTGGTCTTGGTCTTGAACTTTCATCCTCCAAAACTGTGAGCTAAATAAAACCTCTTTAAAAAAAAAAAAAAATGAACATGTTCTTGCATTTCAAACTCTGTTTCTTTTAGGAAGGATCGTAGCAATGCTGCCAAAGACCCTGAGTCACCAAGTTGGTAAACGATCAATTCTGTAATAATCTCCAAATGCATTCTCAATCATCCTCTGCCACCAATGAGGCTTCCTCCCTAAAGACTGCCTGCTCAATGCCCTTAATGTCCCCATGTCCAGTGACTCATGGGGAGGCTGCCTTCTCATGTGATCACGTGCCAGCCGGCCACATGGCCTGCAAATTGAGGTAAATGTGTCCAGCAAACGTCGGGCCCCTCTGACTTACACTGGCATTTTAATCTTTTCTCAAGACAGTGGGCACTGGTGCAGAAACACCAGAGTGTCCACTCCTTGAAAGTGGGAGTCTGGATGAACAGATGACAGGTCGCCAGGCTTGTTCTCTCATCTCTTGTATATGGAGAATGAGTGTCCCCAGGTGCCCCCGGGAGGCTCGGCATCTGCTGAGATGGGAAACCATAAGCCAAGAGAAGGAGAGGAGCATTTCCATGGCAACCTAAATTTTAAAATGGGATTTCTTTGGTTTCTGTGGTGGCAGAGAACACAGGCACTCCCATCTCCCAGGTGGCCCCCAGTTCCTGCAGCCCCCCGGCACTCTGCCAGCAGGGAGACCCGTGTGCTCACTCCTCTTCCTTTGGTCCCACTGCTCCTCGCCATGCTCCTGTGAGCTGGAGCCACAGCTCAGCAGGGACCACCCAGCGCCCAGCCCACTCACAGCAGGATAAGCCCTTGGAAGAAGACTCCTTTCAGCCCTGTACCTGTGGCACAGACTTCGGGGGGCTACCAGCTGCTGTCGCCTGGTGGTGAGGACAAGCCCTGGTGTGGAGGCAGGAGACCTGCATTTGTGCCTCAGCTCCACCACTAACCGGCACTGGGGGCACCAACCTCTACGGAGCCACGGTTTCACCACCCATGAAGTGGATTAGTAGGTACCATGTCTCTGTTGGCAGCTGTATGTGAACCGAGGCAGGGCAGAAGCCCCTGTGTGGTGCCGGGTGTACACACAAGAGTGCAGTGCTGCTCACTCCAACAGGCTCCATTTCCCCTTCTCTCCTCCCCTTTTCCCCACCTCTAGCATGGGCCAGGTGACTCCAGTTTACCCCAAACCTACCCCAAATACCTCCACATTGCCAGAAGAATCTGCATTAAAACAAGCTTCTAAACCAGGCCCAGTGGCGCACACTGATCCCAGCTGCTTGGTAGGCCGTGTAAGGAGGATCACAATTAGCAAGTCCCTGTCGCAAAATTTAAAAAGAGCTGGGGCTGTAGCTCATTGGCAGAACATCTCTGGGTTCAATCCCTGGTGCTACCAAAACAACAACAAAAAAACCTCAACAACAACAAAACCCACCAAAACCATCACACACAAACAAAAGCCCCTGGGTTCCAACCTCAGCGAACCTCTACGTTTTAAGGATTCTGAGACTGCTGAGAGCCCATCTCTGAAGCCAAATGTCCCCTCCTAGAGGAAGAGACAGATACCCTGAGAGCAGGGGCAGTTTCACTCTAGTGAGTAGCCAACTTCCATTATCCCAACGCTGCTCAAATGGCAATCCCTCTGGGAATGCGCAAGGGTGCGAAAGACAAGCTCAGCTGCTAATACTCTGTCAGGGGTTCCAAGGTCTTTGCCAAAACAGCAATCCACTTTCACTTCCCCTAGTTCAGGCAAATGCTTTCCTCTTATTTCTCAATTCAGTGATTTTTAAAAATTACACAAGATGAATAGAAAGTCCTTATTTCAGGAGGGGAGGGGGCCCAAACAGGAGGAACACACTTGCAAGCTGTGGGCTACTGTTATTTCTAGTCCCGGTCAATGGGCTTCCCAGCAAGATCTGGAATCCACTGCACCCCCCCACCCTTTCCAAGTCAGTCTCTGGTGACAAGATCAGGCCCTCCTTCCTCCCCTGGCCAAGCCCGTGTAGCACTCAATGGTTCATACATCCCACTGGTGTCCTGAAGAATGCTGTCATGTGTAAAGAAAGGGTTTGTGGTCAAGTGATCCACTCCCACAGCAAAACTGTTCCCCAGACACCCTAATGACTTCCCAGGACAAATGTGAAGTTTGGGACTCTGGAAGGAGATGGAATGGACGTCAGGAGAGGAGCTAACGCCAAGTCGTAGGGAGCCTTATGTATGTCCTGCCATCCTAAAAGAGTAGAGTTGGGCTGCCAGCGAGCTTGAGGAAGAAACCTCCCCTCCACTGTTACAGAGCCGTCTGTTGAAGGACGTAGAGGGACAGGCCATAGGCCCCTGAAATTTCCAGATCAGAAAAAGTGAACGGACACCCAGAGCAGATTTTCCCTAATATCCTGCTCTTCTGCCCAGCGGTGCTATGAATCCGGCAGACCTCTTCCAGGGGTCTCTAAAGAGTCCAGAGGCTTCAGCCAGGGGTGGTGGTGGCTCAGGTCTACATTCCAGCAACCCAAGAGGCTGAGGTAGGACGATCATAAGTTCAAGGACAGCCTCAGAAACCTAGCAAGACCCTGTCTCAAAATAAAGGGACTGGGATGTAGCTCAGTGGTAGAGGGCCCTGGGTTCGCTCCCCAGGACCGTGGGAAAACACAGATGCACCATCAGTGCCTACATTCTGAAGTAACCACAAACCAGGACTGTGCCTGGAGATGGCAGAGCCACTGCATCAGGGGAAGGTGGGAAATGAGGAGGAGGGTGAAGACTTGGTGGGACCGGCACAGAGAATATATGCGTTTCTTTCTCTTCCATAAAAACTTGGCTTGGTTCTCACCATCATTAAAGGCAGCTGTTCAAGTTCC